TGGTTATCTGTCAGGTCTGGAGCTGAACTCATGCCTGGGTTAGAATCATCATCCATTTAAGATGAAAAGGGCAGCATTTACTCAAGGACACATTTCAGAGGTTAGGAATGGAAACAGGAAACACAGGGAGGAAGTAGGATAACATGAGAGTACACTGAAGGGATTAATGAATAAATGAATATAACCAAAAATCTTGAAGATAGTGCAGGACTGGGTAACCTTGCCTTCTCTTATGCAAACAGTCACTATGAGTCAGAGCTAACTCAGGAGCAACTAACAATGTATTCCCAATTATGCATGCGTGCTGGTCAGCCAAAAATTGCATTAAAAGTTAATGGCTTTTTTTATATAGGCTCAATCAATGCAGTTATTCATATAATTTGCTTTCTATCATTCTCCAACCTTATACCCTAGAGTTGATACGCACTAGTAGTGGTTGCATGTTGGGCTGATAACTGCAAAGTCAGCAGTTTGAAACCAAGAGCCGCTCTTGGGGAGAAAGACGGGGCTTCGTACTCCCGCAAAAAGCTAGTTTCGGACACTCACAGGGACAGTTCTACCCTGTCCTGTAGGGTCTCTGCGAGTCTGAATTGACTCAATGACATTGTATGAATGAGGACTCTTAAATACTTTTGAAAGTCCACGTAGAACACTTCCTATTATCACTGATTAACGACTGTAAATGGTTTTCAAAAATTCGTGGGAAAAGTCTATTCCCTTTTCATCTGTTTTCCCAAGAAGTTTCAGAAGTCCTCTCACAGATAACCTCATTATCTACACTTGCGCCACCCATGAGGTAACCGCTAGCAGGCCTTGGACCGATTTCACCCGATTCAGTCACGACTGAACTAGTGAACGCCGAACAGACGTGAATTTGTAGCATGTGCGTGATTCAGAATGCTAACTGGATTCCGGGGCGGAGCTCTGGAGACTCAGAAGAACCATCCTGCACTCTTTCTGGAGTCTGATGGGCAACACTGGATAAGTGCCAGGTGTGTGCACAGCAACACGAATTCCAAGTTTCCAGCTCTGCTGCCATCTTTGAACGCAGGTGAGTTAACGTTTACTGTGTCAACCTGGCCAATGAACACATGTGGGATTAATTGAAGGGCGGAGAGATAAATGGCTTTCTTGTCTCTTGGACCAATGTGCGGCGGCCTTGCTTGTTCTGTGCCTCAATTTGCAAGCTACACTACCTGTGGGACACCTAACCCATGGACTGTGTCGCTGTCACTTGAGGTTCCTTCAAGACCTGCTTCGCCACACTATTGGAATTTACATCTCTTGAGCTGGGGACTGTCAGACCCTGTCATATGGCTGACTGTTGGTGACCTACCTGACTTGCTGTTTGCTACCTGTGGCAGGATAGCCTGAATTGCTCTACAGAGGACTAACCAGCGGCCCTCAAGACTTGAAGGACTGCCAGTGTCTCACAGCTGTCTCAGGGTACTGAGTTGCACTGAGCCATTTGTACTGCTTTTGGTTTACTATTTTCCTAGGCAATGGCAGTTCTAATGGTGTCCACTTGGCCTTTCCTACCATGATAGCCCTTATCCCACATTTCAAGGATCCAATATGGGGGTTCTACCAGTTACTAAGTATGTCTATTCCAATGATGCATTCTGGAACTGGGGAAATAACCACAGGATGGGATCGGGGGCCCACTGGACCCACACTCAGGCGTACCTGAGCTAAAACTCCATTGGTAACTTGACCTCCATAAGTCCCCACTCTGACTGGTAGGCCTTCGAAACATTTTGGGTCTCCTGGAATTAGTATCAGTTCAGAGCCAGTGACCAGTAATTCCCGAAAGGTCTGATTATTTCCTTTCCCCCAATGAACAGTCACTCGTGAAAGGCCGCAGGTCCCTTTGGGGAAGGCTAGACGAAAGACTAACACACCAGGCTTGTTTCCAATTCAGCAGGTTAAAATATTTGCTTGCAATACAATGCACATGCTCCCCTTGTTTTCTAAGACAGATGAAGTTGCTATTTGGAATATTTCCTGTTGTCCCACATTATATAATTTCGGGTCCATTCTGGTGTCACTTAGTCAAGCATGACAGAACCAGCTGACCCCCTTCAAAACTCTGCCACTAATTATATGTGGCTACAAAGAATTAATTAACATTCTATGAAAGAAAAAGCCAGCTTCTCATTTAAACTAGCCACCTTTCATGTGTCGACTACCATCATCACTGACAGGTCTGTTGGGCAGTGCTCAATTAGATGTCACTCTTTCCCTGAAGATATAAAAACACTATGCAGAGCAAGGGGAAGGGGGACCAAAGTACAGTAATCCGAGTGAGAGTCTTTTCAACCTGTTTCTAAAGAGCACAAAGACCATTTTAAAGTATAATCCTGCATGCCAAACACTACCATCACTAATTATTGGGCATCTTATGGAAACTTTAAGACTTTCAGTCAAGCATCACCCTCCATCCTCTTTACATTTAGCACTGGCGATGTAGCTAAAGTGGGCAGTTTCATGTCACTCACTGTGAGCACAGAAAGCACTGGGTGGGCTGGGGCTGTAGACGGTTCCACCCTCTGTACCTGATTACCAATGAGGTGCTTCAATATCTGCACTCAAAATTCCGTGGATCAAAGTACTCCTTTCCCAGGAACACACTTCTTTTCTGAGGGTAAATATGATCATTCCAAAGAGTTCATTCTATGCACCTTCCTTGGGCCCCGGAATGTCCCAGGCTGCCTTGGCCTTTGCTCAGGGCCATTTCCTTTCCCTAGAGGGCTCTTCCCTCATGACCTCCACGTGACAAGCTCCTTCTCCTCAGTGTGATCTCACCACACAGATGCTTCTCTATTTGAACTGAGAATTCCCCACTTCTCCCACACTGGTCAGCCTCTCTAGCAATGCTTCAAAGCACAGAGTTAAGGAGTCCAGTGGTGTTGGGCTGCTTACCACAAGGTCAACAGTTTAAAACCACTATCTTCTTGCTCTCATAAAGATTCACAGCAGCAGAATCCTACAGAGACTATACTACTCTACCCTGTAGTGCAGCTATGAGTCAGAATGGGCTCAAGGGCAATGAGTTTGGGTTTGAATTTGGTATGTTATTTATTATCTATTCCAACCTCTGGGGTGAAAACATGGAAGGCTGACCCACCCAGTCTGGGAAGGTGAAGTTGATTTTAAAAACTCGCTACTGTCAATTCTGACTCCTAACAACCCCAAGGACAAGGAGAACTACCCTGTGTGTCTCCCAGGCTGTATACCTGCACGGTGCAGACAGCTTCCTCTTTCTCCCACTGGACAACTGGTGCTTTCAGCTGACTTACCAATGCTTAACCCACCAGCGCTGCTGTGAAGGCAATAATTCCAGGGAATTCTTTTAGCTTTGCTCCTCGATTCACTGAATGATTATACTCTTGGGTTTTAATACATAATAAATTTTTCTAAAAAATAACTACAACCAAAAAAAACCAAACTCACTGCCACTGAATGGATTCCAGCTCAACGCAACCTTGAACTGGCCCTGTGGGTTTCCAAGACTGTAAGTCTTTATGAAAATAAAAAGCCTCCCCTTCCTCCCACCGAGTGGCTGGTGGTTTCCAACTGGTGACTCTCTTATTGGCAGCCCAACATGTTACTACAATACCACCGGGACTCTGGTATTCACAGTATCATACATCATTTTTCACCCCTTCCTGATGCTCAAAAGTTTAAATTAAATTGAATCACAATAACTTTGACTCAGATTTACTGAAAGTGTTTTGAATGCTTTTTTAATCATCAGCACTTAGCTACAGGGTTGCTGCCTTAACCAAAATGAAGACCATTTCCTCATTTAAAAATGAAAAAAATTAAGGCTAACTTTGTTATCAGGAGAAACATCTGAAAAATAAAGATGCTGATGGTCATGAGTTAATATGGTATTGTATTAACTTCTACAGAAACTGTGGAACAGAGCATAATTCTGAACTAGTCACAAGTCTGAGGCCAACTCCTCCAGGGTGGGCCTGCGAAGCCACTTGTCCCAAGACAGTTTAACGCTGTGATGACCAGGCTCCAAGAGTAATGCAGAGTTTCCCCAGTGAATAAATGATCACCTATATTACCAAACTGCCCAGCAGCTCATAATTATTTATTTCCAGATTCTGTAGAAGCCCAATATTGTATAAAATAGCTAAGACATAACGATTTAAATAAAATCTAGTTTAAGAATATAAGTTGACCAACTAAATGTAAGCAACTCGAGGGAAAAAACACAGCATTTGAGCAATGTGTTTTGCTTTGTTGTTTTTTCCCTCCTTTTCGTGTGATTTTTAAGGAACGAAAACAACCTGAAAGGCAAGTCTTACAGCATGCCATGTCTTTTTAGGGTCCTCCTGCGAACCAAAGATCAGTGAAGGCCACAGAGTTCAAGTGTCAACCATTATCATCGCACCAAATAGCAAACCGAAATCCAAGGGGCTTCTCGCATCAAACGTGCACGGTTCGTTGACTACAGCCATTGCATTTTCTGTTCCTCTCTAGCCCGGAAGAGAACTTTCAAGGTGCGTTTATTAAAATCATGAATAAAAAGAGGAAGAGGACAATACGTTCCGAGCAGGCACAAGCATCCGTCTCGGTTGGATGCCGGCGCTCAG